ACACTATACTTTAGTCTATTAAGTATGCAATAGCACTGTCTTTAAAAAACAATTCCTAAATTTAAAAATATTGCTAAAAATGCCATCCATCAGCTGAGCTGTACAGTACTAACATCAAAGATCGCTGATGACAGATTACCATAGTATAATAACAGTAACATTTGAAATAGTGTGAAAATGATCAAAATGTGACATCGAGACATGACATGAGCAAATACTGTTGGAAAAATGGCACAAACAGACTTGCTCAAGGCAGGGTTACTATAAACCTTCAACATGTAAAATGCAATATCTGCGAAGTGCAATAAAGTGAGGTATGCCTGTATATGTAGAATTTGATACTATCTGTGGTTATGGCATTCACTGGAGGTCTGGGAAGGTATACCCCGTGAAAAAGAGGGACTACTGTATATAAATTCCATATATATAAATTTACATTTTGCAATTTAACACACATTAGCAGGTGTATAGGTCTATACCAACCTGGTCTAAAAGTTTTGTCATAAAACAATACTGACTGAGAGCTGATTAATGTCCTTCAAATCACATTATTTGGAAACAAAGCTAAGTTAAAAGTTCAGGAAATATCAAAGGGTTTAACAGTATTTGTTCATTTGTTTTGTTGAATGCAATGTACCAGTTTCACCCTTCAAACAACCAGGTCTTGGAGCACCTGGCACAATAGCCATGAACAATTTTAAAATAAAGTGACCAGTTACCAACCACAAGTGTTATATTAACTTCCTTTTTCACATTGTTTCCCCCTCCTCCCCTAGAATATTCTTTTTGATATCTTTGGGGGGGGGGGGCATTCAATTTATGCTTTGGAGACAAAATGGTTAGCAAAGGGAATGCAATTGCTTCTTTATAAGTAATTAAGCCTGTTTCTCTAACAAATTAAACTACTTTAATACAGAACTAACGGAGAAGTAAAAATAAGAATGAATCCCCAAAGACTTTCTTTTATGTGTATATGTACACACACACACATACACATATGCACACTTTTACTGATTTCAGAGGAAGGAAGAAAGAAACATTGAGGAGAGAGACTCATCAATTGGCCACCCCCTGCATGCTCCCACTGGAGATTGAGCCCACAACCCAGGCATGTGCCCTGATCCGGAATTGAACTGAGACCTCCTGGTTCATGGGTCAATGCTCAACTACTGAATCTCAATGGCCGGGCAAGACCAACTATTCTTAAAACAATTTCCTTGACCCACATCTTTTCTAAATCAGGTTTGGGATTATATTTCAAAGAATTAGAACTATCACATAAAAAGTGGATCTTTCTGGGACACTGGAAATAAATGAAAATTATTTCAAGCCTTAAAGGCTATTTTTAAAATGTATAGTGGCAGACTAGACTATACAATAGATAGGAGCTAGGTTCTAAAACCAGACTGCCTGGGTTTAAATCTTGGGTCTGTCACTTAGTACAACCTTGGCCAAGTTAACTTACTTTTCTGTGCTTCAGTATCATCTATAAAATATGGGAAATAACAGTATCTACCACCATCGGGCCATTATAAGGATTAAATGAGTTAATATTTGTTCAATGCTTTGAGCAGTTCCTGGCTTGTTAAGTACAAACAAGTCAATGCATGTAAAAATGTAAATGTTTAGCCCTGGCCAGTTTTGCTCAGTGATTATAGAGCATCAGCCTGTGGACTAAGAGTTCGATTCCGATCAAGGGCACTGACCAAGGGCACGTAGCTCAGTCCCTGGCTCTGATAGGGGCATGTGTGGGAGGCAACCAATGGGTATATCTCTCACATCGATGTTTTTTTCTCCCCCCCACATTCTCTCTCTAAAAAAGGGGGAAGGTAAATATTCTTGGGTGAGGATTAACAAATATCTATATCTATATCTATATCTATATCTATATCTATATCTATACCTATACCTATATCTATACACATATACATATATATAAATGTATTTTTTATATAACACACACACATATATTTTTTAAAGTAAATGTTTAAAACCATCCAAAAGGCTGAGTTAGCTAATGAGTGACAAATGTAAAAGCCCTAGAAAACCTTCAGGAAGCTTAAAACTTTTTTTTAATATTTACTTTTTCTAAATTAGAACTTTGAATAGCATCCATATAAACTACTCAGTATCCTCTAAAGAACTGTCCAGACACTACAGTATATCCAGCATTCAGTATGAGAAGCATACGTAGTACTTGCTTTCATATCAAACTGTTTTGTTAAACATCTTCAAATAATTGAAAATGCAACACATATAAACCAAATATTCCATTTATACCCAATGTTCTGTGGGGGAGGGGAAGTAAAATTAAAGACTATCTCAGTATCACTCACATTGCAAAGTCCTAAAAAAGTTACTTATTACTATCAAATCTAGTATTTGAATATGTAAATAAAATGTAGCTGAATGACTCCTCAAAGTGAATCTGAACTGTTCCTGAAATAAAATGAACCATAATACTATAGGACTTTAATTTTTAAAAATGTTTTTATTGATTTGAGAGGAGAGAAAGAAACATACACTGAGTGGTCAGATTATTATGACCGGCCAGATTATTATGACCACCCCATCAGTACAATGAAGTGAATTAGTTATGCAAATAATAATAATAATAAAACCTTGAGAGTATTTGCTTAGGAAGTTTTCAATATTCAGTGTTTTTGGAAGTGTCAATGAAGTACTGATGAGGTGGTCACAATCAGTGAATGAAGTACTGATGAGGTGGTCACTCAGTACAGATGAGTGCACAATCTGGGCTGGAGCCCTGAAGGGGACTCAAACCCCGACCTCTCCGTTCAACCACCGCACTGCCTAAGATCTGTACTGCACCGGCAAAAACACTGTAACGGTGCCACACTGTGACCTCGAGGAGACACAAGATGAGGCAAACTCTAGTTAAAACTTTAGACTCTGTCTGCTGTCCTCTCTGAGTCAAATGTGAACATAATAAAGCAGCTTTCAGTAGTCCTCCATGAAAAACTTCACTGTCTAGCTGAGTAAAGCCCAGGACTGAGGCATCCCACTGGTTGCACAGCAATGAAGTGTTGGGCCGTCTGGTGGCAAAGATTTCTCCTATCTCTCAATCCCAAGTTGCTGGGCTGTATCTACCTTTTTTCTAAAATGGCTGGAAACAAGTCAGATAATGCTGACGCAAAAACGGGCGATACAAGAATATTGTTTTAAAATCCGTTCTCTTTTATGTTCTTGTTTGAGATTTCCTCAACACACACACGAAAAACAAATACAGTGATTTCAGTTAAGCAATGGTTAGCCTCTGCAACACACACAGGTATGCATTCCTCTCGGCCGCATCCACTATATTATATTGGCTTAACTACAGAAAAGTGCCCGGGTTCGAGGGAGCTGGCCATGTCCACTACCGCTTTCAGGGGTCCTCCCGAAGGAGCGCTACAGTCAGGCCCGAACGCCAGGCCTTAACCCCAAGGACCTGGTCTTACTTTGTCTCACGTTTACAAGTTGGCAAGTAAACTGCAATAAAACATCGGGTGGGTGATGGAGTAAAGAAAAGTCCAGGGGTGGCGAGAGGAAGTGCACAAACTATCGCTGTGGGAGGTCCAAAGGGTGACCCTAGCACCCTGCTCCTCGCGGCTTTCTGGCTCTAAAGCTCACCCCGGAGCAGGACGACCCGCACTGCACGCGGAAGGAAGACACGTCTCCGGGCGGGCCCGGGTGCCGCTCGGCTCCTCG